TTGTTTATATGAATTTAGTTGACACCATAACTCTTCCAGAAGAGAATGCAAAGAGTAAGGATATAGGAAATTTGGGGCTTCTGCTCTTTTTAAAACATCATATTTCACATTTGGCAATCTTAGAGATGGCTTGTTTTCTCTTGAGTTTGAGATTCCTTCTTCATAAAACAAAGTTTAAAGAATGTTTTTGGATATTTTTCAATGCCAGCGTTTTATTTCTATATGATTTTCACTCAAAAATTGCTGCTTTATGTCAGAAATGTTACTTTTATGAACCATTAAAGAATTCTGTTCTTGGGAAAAAGATCATCTTGCCATTTGGCTTTATTATTAAATGATCATAACATTCTTCATTCTGGCTGATTTTTTTCCCCCTCGTGTTTCCTTTAATCCATCAGAAATGGAGATAGGGCCAAATGAACTCACTGGAAACAGTGGTATTGTTTCTGTACTGTGCACTGAAAAGTGTTAACGGGTGGGTAATATAAGAATGATATTGGCCAGTGAGGTTGTAGATACTAAATTTGACTTTTGGACTTAATAAGTTATTTTATGGGCAATTAATTGTCCTCAGAAACACATTAAACAGATCACATTTTAGAAAGTTTTCTGTTAAAATGTATAAACATAGTAGAAAACACTCATGGCTTTGTCTATATCAGAGTTTTTCTTTCACTAGCTCACTAGTGATGGGAAATTCTATTTTAGTGAATTAATGCTGAGTGACAAGTCTTTGGTTGCTCCAGACAATCTATTATTTCCAAGATGTTGCGATTTTCATCATGTTTCTTTGCCTAAACTGAAACACCCGACCCCTGTTACTAGCTTATTTAGATCATCTCTGGATTTTGCATCTGTACAGTCATTATTGACCTTAACAAGAGAAATTCTGATCAAATGGTTAAGGATAAAGATAACTGAGAGGATAGAGAAATAGCTGAGGGAATGCTAATGTAAACGAAGGACATAATTGGGAGGGGCAGGTTTTGCTTTAAGATGAATGGTGCTACTGAAAATTTACAAAGGAGACTGCTTCAGCAGCTAGGAGGAATGTATGCTGGAGAGGATGTAGAGCACAAGCCGAGGGCTTGACTGAGTAGGAATGCAGACATCTTGTTCGTATAGCCGCAGGAGATGTGAATGAAGTAGCTGGATGCATGTGGAGACAACAAAATGCTGAGTAGCTCTTCTGATGATTCTCTTTTCTCAAAGAAATAATAAGAAGAAAATAGTATTAGGGAGGGAGACAAAGGAAGAGATGACGGTGTCTAAATAAGGAGAATCCATCATTGAAGAATGAATTGAGGAATAGAGCAGTGCTGGGAAGCACCGGCACTCATTGGAGGGGGGAGACAGAGGAAGTAGGGTCATGAATTTCAAACGCAACACACAGCTTGGCTGTGATTGTGCTGTTTCCTAGCTTATTGAGTGGCTTGGGTTTGTCACAGATTTAGAGTTAACTAAGGTTCGAAAGTCTTACTTGTTCATTCAGCAAGCTCCAAGTTGAAGAGGACAAAGGAGTTAAAGGCAATATAAGTAGAAGCTCCTCTAGCAAGGAGGGAAGTAAGACTTGAAAGTTTGAGTACCAGAAGAAAATGCTCAAAAGCTGCCATTGCCAGAGTGAATGTTATAGTTAGGTGGAGAGTAAGAATCTACAGGAAGACATTTAATGAGACCTTCGTATCTCCAAATCTAAGTCAGGCATGGTCAAGCTAGAAAAATCATGTATCATTTCAACTCCAATTTAAAGCAAAGAAATCAAATTTTAGTATTTATTTCCTTTGTTCTGACGATCGAATTCCTATTGTCCTTGAGCAGTCAACGTAAGGAGTATTTGTTTTATGCTTCAATTGTCTTTAAGTACATTTTAGAAAAGTATTTTCTTCACTCTTGTACCACATCTGCACAATTCTTGTCTTAAATGCATAGCTGTTTGTATACTACTGTGAAGCTAAAGGAAAGATGGAATGTAGTAGTCCTGGATTTGCATGACACAATTATGGGATCCCAAGAAATTGACTTTAAGAGGAAAAAAAATATGCATAGTTGAATAAAATGCAAACATTTAAAAGACAAGCCCTAGTTTTGGCAGGGAAGGATAGGAAGACATTCAGTGAGTAACACCCTCTGGTTCTTTAGGAAGAGCAAGGCTACCAGTGGTGAGATCCTAACCAACCTCACTTACCACAAACCATCTGGAAGAATATCTAGAGTTGTGTTTGAGAAAAGGTGAAAGAAACCTCATAGCCTCTCAGAGCAGTTGCCTGAAAACATCCTGCTGACCTGGTTCCTCCGGACAGATTTTCACTGAGATGGAGAAATGCTTCCTTTTACTGCCATACCTTTGCTGGGAAGGTAATTAGGAGCTAGCTCATCAGAGCCAGAAAAAACGTTAGAGGGAGTGAACCAGCCACCCTTAGGAATCAAATAGATACCCCACCACTAGCACACCACCAGCACCACTAACAGCTTGTAGAAGACTGCAAAAAAATAAATAAATAAAAGCTTACATAGTACATAGTACATACTACTGAGACAGAAATGGAGGCCACGGAGCACTCAGCCAGTACTCTTTTTTAAATTAAATTAAATGTAATTTTTTATTGTCAAGGTGATGTACACAGAGGTTTCAGTTACATACGTAAGGTAATGAGTACATTTCTTCTCCGACTTGTTACCCCTCCCCTCATTTTTCTCCTACTTTCCCTCCCCCAATCACCACCCCAGATCATTTCCAACATATTGTCTGTGAATATCATTGTTGCATTGGTTCCTCCCTCATCCTTTGTCTCATCATTCTATTGTTCCCCTTCCCTTCTCTAATTCAAATAAATATACATACAATACCAGGGCACCAAAATCAAATACAGTGACTTGAAAGCCTGCCTCACAAGTCCTGGCTTACTGGAGAGAGTGGCTCCACTCCCAACAGTACAGGGAAGGGTTAATAGCTGGGAAGACACTATTCACACCATTTGCAGAGTAAAAAAAGAGTTTATCTTTCTGTTGTTCCTCTTCCCAGCTCCAACATGGCTTCTCAGTCCCTTAACCTCCCTAACCACCTTCCTAACCACCAATGGTCTTGTCCTCCAGTTAACCTCAGCTCCCAATAGGGTGACCTTACTTGAAACTACCTTCTATGGAGCACGCCTCTCACCATCCATTTCAAACACCATTCCATCTTCTGGCACATTCTCAGAGTATTCTTGATGGACAAAGTTCCACTTGCACCCATGCACTTCCTTTGTCTTCTTCAAGATGTATCTTACTGAACAAGTAAGACTTACAACCTTAGGTAGCTCTCAATTCAGGCAAGCATAAGCCACTGAATAAGCTCATACAAATGCAACAGACTCTAAAATGCTCCTATTATTTTCATAACAACACACAAACACACATGTAGTGAGACCGAAGAGATCTGTTAGCATGTCTCACATTTGTCTGTGAGATCTACTAGCATGACTCCTTTCCATCCTTGAATCTCATGTCTCATCTTAAACATAAGATATCCTCAATGAAGCCTGGTTCACTGTCTCCATTCCCATTGCTATGCCAAGCCATCTGGACTTTTATAAAATCCTACTTTTTTTCTTTTAAATTCTCTGTTCTACATAAAAACAAATTGTCCCATACGTAAAAGCAAGAGTAAATTATCTCTCGCGTTTGTTATTTGAAACATAGTCCAAGCTCCCTGAAAATAGGACAAAAGCCACTCTTTTACTCTTTAGCCAAGGGATCTTGAACATAGGTATTATTGAATAAATGAGTGAAAAGGCCCTATATAGAATACAAATGACATATATATATATATATATATAAAACATGTATTAGATAGATATAGTGAAATTGAAATCTGTTAGCATTCCTCACCCATTTGAGAGGATGTTGATAGGCCTAAAGAGATCATCCTGAAAAGTCTGGGTGCTTATTTATTCAAAGTTTAAAACATCTTTAGCTTTTAAAGCCTAGTATTGTGAGTGGGAGGTAAGCTTCAGTTTTAGGTTAAAGGAAAACTGCAATCACGGATTAAGTTGCAATCATTGGCATGTTGCTTATATGACCATTGACTTAGCAAAATACCCTAATTACCCTCACCAATGCAATTCAAGAGTCACAGTTAATCAACCAATAAGACCTCTGTGAAATAGAAGTCTGATGTAAACTGAAATTCTTCTGAGACCTGTTCCCCATTCATTGATCTGTTTGCTACTGGTTAAGTTAGGCATTTTATCTGTTGTATTTTTAATTATTAAGCAATTAATTCATGGGCTTTTGAAGATGAAATATGATGTAACTTATAAAATATCTAAATATTTTTCAAATAAAGTGATAATTCTTTGTTTCTTTTCTATGATTTAATCCCATTTGGATCTGCTCAGAAAAATATTTTTGTGTTGTCAAATTCCCAAAATCCAAATGCTGTGTAGAAGTTTAGAATTTCAAAACAAATATATCCATGTTTTACAAATATATCCTTGAAGGTAATACTGTAACATTTAGCTGTAAAATTGAGGTAGTTATGAAAGACTAATAGTGTTTGTGTTTGGGGCTTTTGTAGTGGTAGATATCATTTGTTGGGAAATGAGATTAAGGAAGTTTTACATTAGTACACCTTTTCTTTGAGGAAAATATTATTCCTGAGTTTATTTGTATTAAACTGACTTAGTAAAAATTGTCCTTGTGAAAGTTTCATGGTTTCTCTAGACACAGTTTATTTACCAAACAAACAAAAACCCCGTTCCCACCATTTTCTAAATGCATTAGTGAGTGCCTCATTAAAGAAAACAAACAAACAAACCACAGGCAAAAGCATAAAAAGACCTTATGGTTTGTCCATCACACAGTATACTAAACTGCTTCAGATTTGGTGTGAGGGAGGAAATCTGTTGCACACAAACTCATTCTGATGATGGCATAGTTATTAGAAATCAGAGTATGATTTGCTTTTCTGTTACCATCAAGAGCTATTGACTTTTGAACCCCTGAACACTCTCTTCTAGCTGCTCTCGAAATCTATTGAACAACTGAAGCAACCAGGCAGTCACCTTGAGGAGGCAGAGGAAGAGCTTCAGGTCGACCAGGCGATGCAGGAAGACAGAGCGCCCTCTAGTGACACCAGCACTAAGAGCGACAGCAGTACTTGTGTGGATGATACACTGGGACAAGTTGGGGCAGTGAAAGTCAAGGAGGAACCCGTGGACAGTGATGAAGATACTCAGATCCAGGAAATGGAATCTGGGGAGCAGGCTGCTTTTATGCAACAGGTAATAGGCAAAGATTTAGCTCCAGGATTTGTAATTAAAGTCATTATCTGAACATGAAATGAATTGCAGATTTGGGTAAATGGTTATCATTTCCTATCGGGTTCTATCTCTGGATGATTTGATTTTAGTGTTTAAGGATTCTGACTAATACAGGTAAATGTGTACATATCTATTTAGAGCTTTTCATCTCTAAATAGATATATCAAGGTTCCATCAAAACACCACATGGTAAGAAAATACCTGTAACACTAAAATCATGCTACTGAATATCCAAGTACTTAAAAGGCTTTGAATTCATCCTAAAGCCTGCTATCCTAGTTTCTTCTAAGGAAAACGAACTCATTGTTATTTTTATTTTATGTGTTGAGATCAGTTACTGCTGGATATAGTCTCCAATCTGATCAATGAAGCATTCAGTTAGCTTTTGATTTCTTTGAACATGTAGAATTCAATTTACACATCACTGTACATAATGTATCATACGACAGTCTTGAACACTGTTAAAAGTAGTCTGCCCTTTCTTCCTCTCTCTCTCTCTTTCTCTGTCTACTTTTTTTTGTTAAGCAAAAATGTTCTGGTTACTCTGCCAGTAATACCTAGTTTATTGTGTAGATTGTAACTGAAAAATATTAGGAATACAGGTGTTTTTAAACAATGCAAATTGAAGTCATAATTTTAAGTACTACATTATGTATCACATATCACTGGTAATTGCTTTTCTCTTTGTGCAATTTAATGGCATTGTCTATTGAAAGAGGTGAAATGAAGCTGGTGCAAATGTCAGTGAGCAGTCGTGTGCAGCCTTAGTGGTCCAGTCAGATATGCTACCTACAGTACAGAAAACCCAGTGACAGTGTGCTAATCACCTGATGGCAAGTTCAGATCAGTTTGACAAGCAGGTGTATCATGTTCTGTGATCATTTTCAGTAAGCCCTTTAGATATAATTCTATGATAGATACCCTCTAATTCGGGCAAATGAAAAATTGTGAGAAGTTGGGTGTAACAAGCGTTGACTCCTATATAATGCACCTTCAGAAGGACTATGTCCTTTGATGCAATAAAATACAAACAACTTTGAAGGCAACTGAAGACAATGTTTATTTAAGCCAGTTCTTTGTCAGGTTCCTGCTGTTCTCCTACAGAAAAGTGATTCTGTGAGGCTGAACAGGAAATGCCCTGTGGAAACAGGAAGTCCGAGTGATTCATGTACTGAGGAATGTAGAAAAAAAAAATCTGAGGATAGTGTTTTACTCTTTCTGTTTTTAAAGGGCACTCTATGAATTGATTTATTGACTAAGAAAATAACACCACAAGTAGGGAAATTGTTACGGAGGCTTTTCACTGGAACATTTCCTTCATTTTCCCCTTTTGATATGTTTACCTTGTTTTATAGGTTTACTTTTGTTAAGCTAGTTAAAGGTTTGCTGTATTAACATCCCTTTAATATGGATAATCCAAATTGACCTAGAATCTTTGTGAGCTTTTTTTTCTATTAAGATATTTATATTTCTAAATCTGAGGTATTTTAAGGTGTAGTATCCTGTTTCAAAGAAGATATAACAGTTTTGCCAAATATAGACATTGTTCAAATGTATGTTATCGGCACATGATGTTTACATTTTGCTGTGACATTTAAAAATACTTCTTTAAAAATGTTACCGCTAAAGATACATTATCCTTTTTTAAAAAGTCTCCATTCAAATTAAATTAACATAATTAAAAGTTAGAATGAGTTTAAAACTTTTCCATATAATGAAAGGTCCTTCTGATAATTTGACAAATAGCTGAAATAGCTGTAATAGGCAACATTCCCTGTTTCCAACATATTTTGGTTAGTATATTCCTTCATATTAAAATGACTTTTGTCAGTTGTTTTGCATTAAAAATATGGCATGCCTAAGATAAAATTGTATATTTTTACCATCTCATAAATATTCATTTCCTTCAAAGTCTTTTTTCAAACTTATAAAAAAAAGGGATAGTGCATCTTTTAAAATACATTTTATTTGGGGAGGAACATGTGGCTGAGCAGACTTTTGTATAATATTACTTCAAAGATATGTAATCACAAACATAAAAAACATCCTATTTTTTATAATGTCATTTGAGAAAGCTTCAGAAGTACAGTTTGTGGACATTAAGTGTTTGAATTTGATAGTCTTTGAATTTAATCAAGAAACTACCTGGAACCAGTGGAAAGGGAAGCTGGACTTAAATAATTTAGAATTAATTGATAAATGTTTCTTTTAAAATCTACTGTATTTATTATAATTTACACCCTTAGAGGTGATCTCTTGTTTTGTGTTGTAAATATATTGTTTGTATGTTTCCCTTCTTTTCTTCTGTTATGAGTCTCTTCCTTTCTCAAATAAAGTTTTTTTTAAAAGATCCCCTTTCATACATTTGGCTTTGTGTAAACTTGATATATTTAATTGAATTGGAAACTTGTACATTAGGGTCTCATATGCCAAAATATATTGCCATTCATTTTTGTTGAAACAAAGAAATAAAGACATTTTGAGCAGTTACTCCTAATACCATTAAAACTAATACATTCAACAAAAAATGACTTTAAACATTGCCATCAGCCATTATCCAATAGTAAACAAATGTAAAATTTGTTGCCTTTTCCGTTTTTCCAGTGTGATCTTTTCATGCTATGCTAGCATCTTTGGTATTTAAATTTAAATGTCATATTCTAAATATAAAATTTTACCTAAATAGATGTCAGTTCCTAACTCTACTCCTCTTTAAAATTCATTTTAAAAAGCTTAACATGATCCCTTGAATATAACAAGTTATCAATAAATATTTAAATGAATTTCTCCCTAAGCAGTATAATAATTATATCTGTTACAGTGAGCTCCTGAACTGCAAATATAAAGTAAAAGTGAGCAAGGTTAAAGGAAAGTAATTAAATGATCTTCCCTTCTATGCTGACAGTGATTATAACACTATTGTGAAGAAAAATGAGCCAACTCAGGGCAATGATAATTTTCTACGCACACCACACAGGCCATGAGGTACCTACCATGTTCCTCATTGTTGCCAGCAAGACTTACCCAATGGTGTATTTGGTTCAGTAGTTTAACAGTTATTTTTCATGTTCTTTGTTTCATTTAATCTAGTAGTTAATAGTGTCCTGTAAGGCAATGATACCTTACATCACCACAGTGTCACATACAACTGAAGGGTTCTAATTGTTCTGTGTTAAACAATGGGTTATCCTCCATTCTACTATCCATTTGATATTTTGGTTGGAATTTTGGAAATGACATTGAATCTGTGCATGATAGCCTGAAAATGGATTTTGGACTGTCAAACTACAAGATTAATTCAGTACTTGAGATCCTGAAAAAAAAGGATTAGAAGAACTGATGATAATTTGATAATCGATATCTGCTTTCTGAAGCATTAGAGGAAGTGACTTTCTTCCGAAAAATAGTTTACCAAGGCTTGTTGGTATAAATAATAGTTTTTCTTTTCCTCTTTTAGCCATAAGAAGCCATCTGCTCATCAGTGAAAGTGATGGCTGAAGTTTAGACTTTCTGGTCATAGAACTGAGAAAGGGAGTCTTTAAGAATTTTTATATTGTTTCATACTCAGTTTTGTTCAAAGGATGTTAAAAAGGGATTTGGACAACTCATTTTTAAAATCTAATACTTAAGAGATGTACTGTTGGTCAATATAGCAATTTTTTTAAGTTTGGCATTTCTTTGTTACTTTTTTCCATATAGATGATCATAGTAGGGATTAATGGTGGGTGTATAGTTGAGGGTTTCCTGTGCTATGTGATTGAGGTCTATAATTGCAACCTATGCTAGTCAAGAACTTGGAGGTGCAAAAGAAGGAATTGGAGGCTACCATTTCCTTTACTATTCATATTTCTCTCTTAAGGGGGCAAGTATAGGAAGTCAATCAGAACACAAGCAAATAAAGGGATACAAGGACTGGAACTTTTCAATTAAGCTAAGACTCTACTGTGTTTAGAATGCATAACTTTTGGATCATCTTGATTTACACAAATGCTTTTGTTCTCAGCTATTGCATGCCTTGGTGTTCCAATTATGATTACCAGTTCTTTGTTTCTGTTAATTTATTCAGGTCACACAATCAACTACTAATTGTTTAGTTCTGAAAGCATTGGGGCCTTATGGAATACAATCAAGTCACCAGTTAACAGCAGTCTAGTTTTAATTTGAACCCAGAAACATAGTCTCAACCATGACCACTATGCTGTGTTTATGCAACAATTCCTTTTACAAATCCAATATGCTTGCTTCTTTCCACTTTATAAAAGCATGATTATTTCTCATTCCTCTCTTCCATACTATCCTGTTGCTTATCATTAGCTCTTAACAAAATCTTTTGAGTCAATTATCTCATATTCACTGTTCTAAAGTATAAGATTTGGGTTCTCTTATTCTAATTCACAAGCAGGGGTTCTAATTCTTATGCACAATATGTTCAGCCACTTGTAGATATAAAAATATGCACCTGCAGGTGGCTCATGTCTATAATCCTACCTACTCAAGAGACTAGGATCTGAGAATCACAGTTCCCAGCCAGTCCAGGCAAGAAAGTCAGTGAGACTCTTATCTCCAATTAACCACAAAAGGCTGGAGGTGGAGCTTTGGCTCAAGTGGTAGAGCACTCGTCTTGAGTGCATGACGCTCAAAGACAGGGCCCAGAGTTCAAGTGCCAGGACCCAAAAAGCATGGGATTATTTTTCTGACCAGATCCGGTGCTAGGATGGAGTAAAACAGATTATACTTCAGGTTAATTTTGGGGGGATTGGGAAGAAAAAGGACGTCAGCCAGCCTGGGTCTTCTTTGCTGCTTTTTGCTTTCTTTTTCTTTCTTTTTTTTTTATTGTGAAAATACTGTACAGAGGGGTTACAATTACATGGGCAAGATAATGAGTACATTTCTTATCAAGCATTGTAGCCTCCTCCTTTGTTTCCCCTTCCCATCCTCCGCCCGCCTGCTTTCTTTTTCAATAAAAGGAGAGTCTAATTTCTAAGAAGGACACTTTAAAAATGTTTATTCATCTATCAAAGGTATAATTGGTAAATATTTTGACTTAAAATAACCTGAACAAAATGCTGTGAAAAGAGAAAGTGTAGTCAATTGTAGAGTTCTAGAGTGTAGAGTTCTAGATCTCTTTCTAATTGGAAAGTGCATTTAATCCTTCTCAGGAAAATGTAAAATTTCCCAAAGGATTTAATCCTATTGAATCTCCAGTTTTCAAGCCTTTATAAATGTATGATTCATCATGGCTTTCAAGATAGCCAAGAATACTAACCACTTCCTGAATGGTAATAGACTTTCCATCGGATTCCCAGATTCTTTGATTCATAGTTGTGAAAATGTACTGTCTCATATTTCTTACCTATTTTCTGTTCCTTCTGCATCTGAAGTCAGCTATAGAGTTTTCTACTACACTTGTTGATATTCGTTGACAGTGTTTGTCCTTTTAATTTTTTAAAATATAAATTATTTAGCTTATTTCCACACCTTTCAGTGACAAAGACATGGCAAATCCTTTTTCTTCACAGTTTCAGAGCTGGTTTTTGGTACTGTTGGGGGGGACAAAATTCATGATATAAAATTCACCATTTTAGCCATGTTGAACTATACACATTTCTAAAATATTCACCATGCTCTACAATCCTCCTTACTAATTCCAGAATTTTCAATCTTCCCTTCCACTTAAGCAGTTACTCAACCACCGACCCCTGACAACCGTACATCTATTTACTTCTGTATGGATTTCTCTATCATGTACCTTTCACATACATGAAACCAGACATCAGTGGTTGCCTTTTGTCTCTGACTTTTTCTCTTTATTTGAAGGTTCACACATGTAGTAACTATTCAGAAGTTTGTTTCTTCTTATGGTGAAATAATAACTATCTGTTGTTTATCATTTTATCAGTTGGACACTTGGATGGTTTCTACTTTTAGTCTGCTATAGACAATTTAGATATAAATGTTCATGTCCAAGTTTTTGAGTTAACATATTTAAAAAAAATTCTCTTCAATATGTATCTAGAAGCAACATTTCTGGGTCATGTCTGACTTTTAAGAATATTTTCTTTTCGCTTTAGTGATATAAATTCTCTATATCCTCTCCAACATATTTTTTTTCTCACTTTTGGCTGGTAAGCAGGCTAATGTGCATGAATAGTACCACTTTTTCTTTGACTTCTCTGTTTACCTATGGCTTTCCTTATTGGCCATTTATTTAATTTCCCTGGAGAAATATTTACTCAAGTTCTTTGCTCATTTTTTTAATTGGATTATCTGTCTGTTTGTTATTGACTTGTACAAGTCAATAAATGTATTGTCTTTGCTAGAGCCTTATTAAAAATATCAGTTACAAATAAACTACTATTCTACACATTTAAAATTTTTTCTCAATAGTATCTCTTGATGCACAGCTATTTTTTCTTTACTGAAAGTTAATATGTCTATTTTTTTTTCCTTTTTTGAATTGTGCATTTGATATTGTGTTTAAGAAACCATTGCTGAGTGTTGGTGGCTCATGCCTGTCAGCCTAGCTATTCAGAAGGCTGAGATCTGGAGATCATGGTTCAAAGCCAGTCCAGGCAGAAAAGTCTATGAGACTCTTATCTCCAATTAACCATGCAAAAACTGAAAGTAGAGCTATGGCTCAAAGTGATAGAGCTCTATCTTTGAGCAAAAAGATCTCAGGGACAGTGCCCAGGCCCTGAGTACAAGCCCCACAACCACCAACAACAAGAAAAGATGATCTAAACCATAATCACAAACATTTCTGCTATACTTTCACTTCATAGCACTCATTTTCAGGTCTTAGGCCTTTTTGTGTACCTGCCAATACTAGGACTTGAACTCAGGGCCTCATGCTCAAGCTTGGGTTTTTTGCTTAAGGCTGGTACTTTAACACTTGAGTTGCACTTCCACTATTAATGGTTTAACCTTGTGTCCAGGCACTCACCACTAATCTAATGTCATCACTTAGAAGGAATAGTTCATTTCCAATGGAGGCTCCGATCAATAGGGCTTATATCAAGCTTTGTTCTCTCTCTCTCTCTGGGAAGTCCTGACTTGCTTTCTCCAGTTGTGCTTTGCTTCTCAATTATACAGTCTGACTTCTCACTACCCCAGTTCTCCAGTCTCCTTGGAATAAAATCTGTACAACTTCTCCTGTAGTTCTTTAAGTTTTACTTTGGCATCATTATATTTTTTTGACTTTCAAGCTAGATAAATATATTGTGTTCCTTCTCATTCCTAGTTCTATCCTGGAAATTTGTATACTGTTCCATTTGAACTGCTTTTGAATGATTTTCCCTTTTCATTCTCTTATTCTCAGAAAAAAATAGCTAAAGGCCATTGTATTCCCTA